TACAAATGATCAAAAATTATTCAACTACTTATTGCTGCTTTCGAATTGAAAACTAGAACTTCCGGAGATAGATTTAAATCACTTTCCAGCTGATGAATTTGAATTAATATGAATATATCAATCAGTTGATTTAACTGAAGAGTTCATTGGGCGGAGACCGATTGTATTCGGAGGAGATTTCAACGCATGGGCAGTGGATTGAGGGAGCACACACACTAAGATTTTTTTACAGGAGTCAGTATTTTTTTACTGGGTTTTTGAATTACTGAAAAAGTCGGTAAAAATTCAAATGACCGTTATCCGTAAGGAATCAATGAAATCGACCAATTTTATTTTCTATCATTAAATGGGGTTAACATAACTAAGTATAAACAAGTTCAGAACAAATTTTCTGATTAATAAATTTTCCACAGATTTTTAAACTTTTACCGAACAGTTCCGCAATTCAAAAACTCAGTAAAACCGTACTGACTCGATTAGTGTGCATGTAGAAGCTCTGCGAAAGCTAGAAGTGAGTCTAGTCAACGAAGGCACCATCTGCACTTTCCACACCGACGGTCGGGAATCTATTATCGACGTCACCTTCTGCAGTCCGGCCTGGAGAATGTACACCCATAGTGACCGCCAAGCGATTCGGTACAACAAAACCCAACGGCAACCGGTGGTAATACGAGACACAAGAAAGAACGAGCGAAAATGGAAAACAAAGGTTTTAGACAAAGATCTTTTTCTTGAAGCTCTCGAAGCGGCTGCTCGGAACTGAACGCGGACGAGTTGACGGAAACGTTAACAAGGGTATGTGAGACAACCATGTCGAAGAAACTGGAGCCAAAGAACAGGCGGGGCCCAGTATACTGCTGGAACTAGGCACTTAGCTTTATCCATGTGTCTCAGAGCCTGGAGAAGCGTTCAGAGAGCAGACAGAGAAGAACATAAGGCAGTGCTTTAACTAGGAACTACTGAAGTATCCATAATCGCAAGTCAGTCCCATCTGTAAAAACACTGGAAATGAGAAAACAGCATTCAAAGATTTTACAAGTTTTCTGATTTTACACTTATTTTGGAGGGATAACTTTAAAAATAAATGTGCTATGTGATAGAATGCATCTAAAGGGTTATACGGTCAAAATTTGGTCAATATCAACTTGACGTATTTCTTTCAATTTTGCATTTAAAAAACCTGAACACCCCTCATTTTGAAGGTGTGTGTGTGTAGAATGTTGCTCCTATTTTGATTTTGGAATTCACTCTTCAGTTGTCAAAATGCCGTCCAAGCAAGAAGAGCAGCGTATCAAAATTTTGCTCGCGCATCGCGAAAATCCGAGCTACTCGCACGCAAAGTTGGCAAAATCGCTAAAAGTTGCCAAATCAACCGTTACAAATGTAATTAAAGTGTTTGGGGAACGTTTGTCGACAGCCAGGAAGTCTGGATCGGGGGGAAATCGAAAACCGGAAGCCGCTTAGACGACAAAGAGAGTTGCCGGTAGTTTCAAGCGAAACCCTAACCTCTCTCTCCGAGATGCCGCAAATAAGCTGGGTGTATCGTCTACAACCGTGCATCGAGCCAAAAAACGAGCCGGACTATCGACTTACAAGAAGGTAGTGACTCCAAATCGCGATGATAAACAAAATACGACGGCCAAAGCGCGATCCCGGAGGCTGTACACGACGATGCTGACGAAGTTTGACTGCGTGGTAATGGACGACGAAACCTACGTCAAAGCCGACTACAAGCAGCTTCCGGGACAGGAGTTTTATACGGCAAAAGGAAGGGGAAAGGTAGCAGATGTTTTCAAGCACATGAAACTGTCAAAGTTCGCAAAGAAATATCTGGTTTGGCAAGCCATCTGTACATGTGGCTTGAAAAGCAGCATTTTCATAGCTTCCGGGACTGTCAACCAAGAAATTTACGTGAAAGAGTGTTTGAATAAACGTCTGCTGCCTTTCCTGAAGAAACACGGTTGTTCCGTACTGTTTTGGCCGGATTTGGCATCTTGCCATTACGGTAAAAAGGCCATGGAGTGGTACGCCGCCAACAACGTGCAGGTGGTTCCCAAGGACAAGAACCCTCCCAACACGCCAGAGCTCCGCCCAATTGAGAAATACTGGGCTATTGTCAAGCGGAACCTAAAGAAGACCAAAAAAACTGCTAAGGGCGAGCAGCAGTTCAAGGCAAACTGGCTTTCTGCGGCGAAGAAGGTGGACAAGGTGGCTGTACAAAATCTGATGGCATGGGTCAAGCGTAAGGCCCGGCAATTCGGATTTGGAAAAGCGGAAGCCTAACTGAATATTTTTCCTAAATTTTATACTAATTGAACTTGAAAAAGAAATTTAATTTGATTTTTTAAATAAACGATTTCACCGATTTACACGCGTTTTCCCTTGACCAAATTTTGACCGTATCACCCTTTATGTGGGACTGACTTGCGCTTACATTTAACGTCAATGAGAAAAATAACCGCAAATCAGTCCCAATGCCATGAGGATTCTGCATTAGTTTAGCACAGTATTGAACAGTAGAAAGATACCCTGGCCTGGTCCCATAGAACGTTATTGAATGTTTCTGGATTCGTTCCGCTGGTTCCAGAGCAATGGCTGGAACATATTCCGGCGAGTATGGGGCATCAGACTAGAACTTTTCAAAAACGGGTTAAACCAAACGATAAATCAATTCACATGAGAATTCGAAAATAAGATCAATATGAGTCATGATGAGGGACACCAGCTCCATTTTGGCCACACCCGGATAAGTTGAGGTATTCCCGGGAAAGTGGTAAAACCTTTTTTAATCAATCACATCAAATCACATCATAATTCAATGCCATAAACGTTGGTGGTCATATTAAGGGTCATAAGAACTATATTGGCCACATCCAGAAGTGGATAGAATCTGTCTTGAGTCAAATCTCATTATGTGATGTGTTGTCTAACATTCTTAATTCTATAGAAGCGAGCCTAAAAACATAGCTGTGACGTTGTTTTACAGTTTATTTAATGAAATCTTATTTTTCCTAATGGGACTGACTTGCGGACTTTGACAATTTGACTTGCAATTGTTTTTCATTTTTCTTGAACCAACCACCTTTTTTCAATAGCACAGCTCAAACAACATAGAAATATAAATTGAATAATGATGCTAGCTCAAAATTGATAAACATACAGATTGCGATTAACGGCAGTGAACATTTTTATACGATAGATTAGGAGATGGTGACTTGAGTGTGAAAATAAATAGAACTGTTTCCGCACATCAGTAGGAATATGAGCGAATCAACGAATATCCCTTCTGCCAGTGGTAGCGACCCGGGATGCTCGACTCGATTCTTCCTTCCTCAAAATTATCCTTTGCTCGCTTTCTACTTTCTAGATACAATTTTCATACTACCGTACTATAACGGAACTATCAACTATATGCTTTCATCTTCTCACCTATCGTATAAAAATGTTCACTTTAAGTCTGACATTGACGTTAAGCATCTCCAACTATATATGGAAGTGCTTAGTGCAGCAAGAATCGATCAAACTTAGCAATTGCTTTAAGAAGCTGTGCCGAGACGCTGATGCAAACCCATTTTTAATTAGGATATCTTGAATTAAGATTAGACATTTAAAAGGGTATTATTGACTAGTGTATGGGAAAAACTACAAGTTGAAGAAAAAACAACGCTCGAAATTATGGCACTTCACGGTGCATAGTAAGTATGTAATGTTCTGACTATAGTTTTAACTCATCATTAAAATGTTCAATGTTACATGTTATGTAGTGACTGAATATAGTTGAAATGACTCGATATCCTAACGTTTTCGGTAATAATTTTGAAAAAAATTAATAAACATCGTAACATATTCAAGCCAACTGTCAAACTCATTGTATTAGGTGCTGCGCGGAATTAGAGCACAGAATTTTAGATGCCTTTTTTATTTTTACAAAAAATAGACATGCATTAGAAACTATTTATCACAAAACCTAGTTTTCTGTTGCAGAAAACATACCCATTTTTTCCATTTTCACTAGTGTAACACTTTTTAAATATTCGCACTAGAAAAAATTAAACGTTTCTGTATTTCAGGCAAAACTACTCTTTCCTATTGGAACCAAATGACAACAAATATTCATTTTTTGGAGAAAGGGTATTAACATCATAAATAGCTGTAGTCCGTTATTCAAATAGAATTAAACGGAAAGTGGCTTTCTGGTAACACCCGGCTCAAGTAAATGGATAGATTGTTTTGGATGAAACATCTACTCGAATTTGTCGACGTTTATTCGATCGCGAAACATTTTAAGATAAGAGAAGATTTGACTATCGAAGCAACACCCCCACACGCTAGTATCCGCTAGTGTCTTTTAGATGGGCCTAGAGATGGCTCTAGATTTGGAGTCCTCTTTTTTATCGGACACTAACATTAAATTTCGAGTATGTCTTCCAAGTACCTAATCATATTTTCGAGATCACCTTATCGAATTACACACGAGAGCGAAACAAGAACCGCACATCACTGTTACCATTGAGTGTTCTCCACAGACGTGCCTATCACATTCCATAGACCCCACAGTAATATTTGATTTTTCGATTTATCTTTGTTGGACACACGTAGCAGAGACGTTTCGTCCGATGCAGATACAACTAAAAGTAACATATATGAATGCACTGTAAAGGAATTGTGAAATTAAATGTCTCTTTTATTCCCTTGCTGTTTTTATTATAACAGCGACTTTGGCGTCACACCCGTTAATGCAGTAAACAGCGTAAGCATGAAAGGGATGATAAATTCACCTTGAGACACCTTTGGTGTATACAATTATTGACAGAAACGAAAAGAATACGCAAAATGCCTTCAAATGAAAGCCTTAAAGGTTCAGGGCTGAATGATTTTGTATGATTATAAAATTATTCTTTGTAACTAAATTTGAAGTGCTTTAAATTTCGTAGTTAGCAGTAAAAAGTTTCCGTGAACTATCGTTTCACCGAAAAGTAAAACCATAAAAATGTACTCACCTGTCGTCGAATGCGTTGACTGTATCTTTCCGGAGGGGGTGGTTTCTTCTTCAGCTTTTCCCCTTTCTGCGCAAGGCCCGAACTTTCGCCCATTTCCGATGGATCATGACTCTCCAGATGGGTGGTGACCATTGGCATGATGCTCCCATCGCGATCAACTACACTGCCATCATTGACTGCTGCGGCCGATACTTCGTCATAATATTGCCCGGAATTGTGTACCACCGTCATTGCCCCTTCGCCAATGGTTCGGGGATTCTGAATCACCCATTGGTTGTCGTGAGAGGGAACGCTATACTCGTAGTCGTAGATGTCCACTTCCTCTTTGATGGTGGTAACTGCTTCGAAGGAACTATCATCCGGCGCTTGAGAATGTGATCGCCGTGGAAGCTGCTGCTGTTGATCGATCGATTGGGAAGGAGTTCTTCCTCCCCAATATTCTCGGAATTTGGCATCGGAGCGACGGCACTGCTTCCGGAAGGAATATGCCAAACTAAGTGTCATCAAGCAGTCCGGACAGATGTGCTGTGGCAAGCCATCTTCGGAAGATACCTGAAAAATAACAAATTTCACATTTTACCCTGTCAGCCATCATAATCAAATCGAGCAACCAAACATTAAACAACACTCCCCGTTTTCGTTTTGCTCTTTCCCCTTCTTGGTGGGGTTGGTTCAGTGGGTGCCATATTTATTACCTGTGTATCGCTTGTGTCTCGTATCATGTTGGCGATGATTTCCTGGCTCACTTCTGCGACCGCGTACAGCGAAAACCGCCGGAATTCATCACTACGCGAACAAACGCGGCAGCACGATTCCATCGCGATCGTTTTACGAACGTTTCAAAAGATTTTAGGTGCACTTTTTACCAGAAAAATGTAGCCATAAAACTGATCCGAGTGGAAAATTTTGTAGACAGATTGACAAATCCAAGTTTCAATCGGCCACCGTGGCGCTGCAATCGCAGCGGTGATAAGTCCGAAATAATGTGTCAAACTGAATACATTTTTGAAATTTCAACCAAAAAACTATTATTTTGTATTTATTCTAGCGAGTTTCTGTGGGAGTCAAAACATGATCCGAGCAAAAAAGTAGTACTCGTAATAATGGTATATAATTCTGAATTTTATCGTGCTTTGTTTCAAAAATATCTTCCAAATAAACAAACATCATCCAGATCACCCGATTCGTCCACCGACTAAATCTATTGCCACTTAAAAATTAATTTCAGTCGGTGTATTAATCAGCAGATTAAATCGTTTTTCGTATGGTGCTACAGCGAGCAATCGGCTCATTTAATAGTTTTTCGTCGATGGATTTAGTCGGCCAACTTTGTCTGCTGTTTAATCGGCAGATGATTTCAAACCTTAACATGTTTTCTGTAATTTAACTGTCTTGAAGTAGCTTTTTATTTAGGAACAATGCATTACAAAATAATTTTATGCATTTTGTACAAGGTTTATCCATGCTGACAAGAAATTTGCATGAAATTACATTGAAATTAAACAATTTTGCAAACAATCAATGAAATTGTCAAGGGCTGTCACAGACTTATCACCGTCGGTTAGTGCTTATTCCTGCCACCAGGCGCGCAGGAGTTTTAGTTGGATTTCTCAATTGACAAGATGCCGGCGCGATGCGAAAATGCTCCAGGAGCAAGGTATTCGTCGGTAGAGGCGCACGAGTGTCGAGACGGCTAATACATAGGTGTAACAGTCGGAAGAAGTGTTAGTTTGTTTACTTAAATGAACCATGCCCATTTTGTTATGGCATGTTTGCTATACGAAATGCGCCTCGTGTTTATTAGCGAATTTCACATCAAAGATTGATTAATTGAGTAGGAAATCAGTTTGGCACGGCATTTGTGACCAGCATACACCTTCCGGTAGTATGAAACAGGTCAAAAACTGTTCAAATCCGCAGATAAAATTTTTGTTTTGAATTTCTGTATAGCAAAATAGTGAACTTTTCGTGAACATTAACGGCAAAGAACTCACCAACACTGGGAGACTGTGAGTTCCTGCCCACCTGTTCATTTTCCATCGTGCACGAGTGTCATGTTTTGAAGTGTTATCCCTTAAGAAACGTTTCAATTCTGCAGGGGTGTGTATGGCCGTTTAAATTTGAGTTCCGTTTACGAACTTCGTTTGTGTTATTATTATTCTATTATTGCCGTTTCAGGGAAAACACATGCCTCGAGATGTTTTTATGACAGGTGAGCAGGAACTCACGGTCTCCCAGTGTTGGTGAGTTCTTTGCCGTTAATGTTCACGAAAAGTTCACTATTTTGCCATACAGAAATTCAAAACAAAATTTTTTATGGGAGGATTTGGACAATTTTTTAATTGTTTCACAAATGCCGTGCCAAACTGATTTCCTACGTAATTAATCAATTTTTGATGTGAATTTCACGAATAAACACGAGGAGCATTTCTTAGAGCAAACTTGCCAGACAAAATAGGCATGGTTCATTTTAGTAAACATACTAACACTTCTTCCTAATGTGTCACCTACACTGGAAAATTGAATTATTCCAATTTTGCTTGAAATTTAATCAATTTGACATTAAACTCAGTTTAATCATATCGAATGATTGAAAAATAATCCTCTCTTTCTGAAAAATAAGCATCTGATATTAATCCCAGTTTAATCATGGTTGATTAGATTGTAGATTACTAGGGGCGTCTCACTTTTAAAATGCTTATTGACGATGTATTTAATTTAAAAAAATGCATTTAATTTCCATCGTTTACATCAACCATTCACTGGGATGTGAACGTCAAAACAAAGCAAGATATACAAACAAAACATGAAAAGAAAAATCGTCTATCCACACACACAAAAAACTAAAATTGTATCAATAAATATGATGCATTTTCAAATTAAAAGTTTCCAAAAATCCGTAGTTTCAACTGCGAAAATATTGAACATAACATTTATCTTTTCGCCCTAAAAGTTTTTCTTTCACTTCCGACTTGTAAATTTAAAAGTGCATTTTTTGAAAGTAAAGTTGTACAACTGTCAAAAACACATCTTTAGAGGTCGTTTTTACTGGCAGCACTGAACTCTCATTTACCGCCTTTTCCGATAGTGGAAATTTGGTCAGCCGTCTGCTGTAGAAATTTGGGACAACAAATTTTTAAAAGTAAGTCAATCTGTGAATCGTTGAAGTTATTGTTGGTTTAATGGATCTCTTTATTGGGAAAACCATTTAACTCACATTTATATTGTTTTTCGACATTCATATAGACTCCCACTTAAGATCATCACTGTTTTCCCGAAACAGTTGGGATGGACCATCGTCCACAATCAGCGGAACTGATGGAGTAAGTTCCCTGCATCAGCTGTGGTTGTTCTGCCGGAAAAGCCTAATTTGGACTTCAAACGGAAGGTCTCCAACGGGGAAGAATGCTGTTTCGTTAGATCATCGATTGAAAATTGAATTTCTCTAGTAGGGCACCAGATTCACACGGAACATGTATTACGCTACCCTGGAGTGGTGCTGGGAATTTGTTAAAAAGGCTCCGTTTGCCAAAGTGTCACTTCCTTTATATCATAAATGGCATTTGACGATGCGATGAATGGCATACGAATAAAAAAGTTATTTTTATTTATTGATTTATATGAAGAATATACATAATAATTAGAAATGATTAGAATATGAGTTTGAATACTTTCTTTTTAAGCTTAAGAACTCTTAATTTGAAAATAATTTCATTTTGCGATAAAAATAAATATTACTACTCTGAAAACGGCATCATTTGAAGTGAAACAATTCATATGTCATTTTAAAAACCTTGGTTTTTATTTTGACGGTTCTACAATTTGATTCAAAAGCTTCAACTTTTAAAATTAACAATGAGGGAAACTTTTAATTTGACAAGTTTCAGCTTTTTATTTTGAAAGCTCTGTACTTTCTACCAAAAAGAACCAATGATAACTTTTAATTCTAACAATGTTTTTTTCAATTATATTAACGATAATTTTGTGTGTGCACGATTTCGGTGGAATAGAGAATTTATATGCTACGCTGCCAACAGAGGTTCCCAGGGATTTTCGACGGTGTCGTCGGAGGAGCTTCGGCCAGTGAAGAGTTTGGATGCTGCCAACGGGATTTTCTCTCGTTCTCGGTGGAAGAAATTCTGCATGAATTCTTTTGGAGACGGTTCTAGATGCTGCAAAAGCAGTTTCTAGGAAAGTTTTTCTTGTTCGTCGTTTGACTAATTTACGTAATTTACGAATTACGTTTGATTAAATAAATAACAATTACAATTACATACAGTATGACCAAGTATGACCAATTAAAAAAATGCGAGAATACAAAATTTCAATGGCATTCTCTTGCGTTCATGGCGGACGAGGTTCCACACGGTTTCGGTGGCGATTTATGATGCTTCCAGCGGAGATTCCAAATAATTTCGACGGAGTTTTCTCAGCGGAGGAGGATCTGCACGATTTAGGCGGAGGTTTCCGATTTTGTCAGCGAAGGTTACAGGTAGTTTCGATGCAGTTTTCTGGTGTGCACGGCCGAGAAGTACGATTTCGGTGGATATTGTCGGTGCTAACAATGGCTGTTCCAGGAAATTTCTAAGTAATTTCCTCGTGTTTTCGGTGAAGGAGCTTCCACAGGATTCTGGTGGAGATTTGCTATGCTGCCAACGAAGGTTCAACGGAATTTTGACGGGGTTTTCTCGCGTTCTCGGTAAAGCGGGCTTAGCACGATTTCAGAGGAGGTTTTCGATGTTGACAGTGGAAGTTCCGGAGGCTTTCTGCACGATTTCGTTCGAGATTTCCGTTGCTACCGCTACCGGATGAGGTTTCAGGGAGTTTCTAGTTAGTTTATAAGTGTTCATGGCGGAGAAAATACCATAGCATGATTTCGGTGGATATTTTGTATGTTACGGATGTTCCGGGGGAGATTCGACAGTGTTTTCAAATGTTCACGTCGGATAGAGTTCCGGACGATTTTGATGGAGATTTTCGGAACTGCCAACGGAGGTTCCAGTGAGTTTCATCAGAGTTTATTGCGCCCGATATTCCCATCGGTTACAGGGAATTTCGACGGATTTTTTCCGCATTCTCGGTCGAGGAGCTTCAGGAAAAAAAAATCTTGAGTCAGGAGTGTGGATTTGAGCTAACCAGTGTGAACAACATGTTTTGGTAGGAACTGTCACTTAGAGCATCACGCTACAAAAAATGCACTGAGAAAATGCATTTAATTTTATTGTTTCTGGTCAAAATGCATTTATTTATTGTTTGTTATAATAAATGCACCACAAGTGATCTGCCCCTAGTGTTCAGTGCTACCAAAAACTTTACTATGAAGAGGTATTTTTGATAGCTGAACAACTTTTATTTAAAAAAAAAGTACTTTTAAAATTACAAGTCAGAAGTGAAAGAAACACTTTCAAACCAAAGGTATAACTTTCATTTTGAAAATTTTCACAGTTAAAACTACGAAATTTAGAAAACTTTTATTTTAAAATTGCATTAGTTTTATAGCAACAATTTTTGTTATTTGTGTGTATGAAAGTCAGACAACTTTCATGCCGCGTCCGTTTTTGAAATTGCACCCCCAATGTTACCTTAAAAATACATGGTATGTTAGATTTAAACTTATGGGAACTGACATCCGATTGATGACCTTGGCAAATGTCCAGAAAATACTCTTTAACAAATTTATGGTGGTCCTGAAGAGTAAAACAACAGTAAAAATTATAGTAATTTCGTTGTTTTATTATATTTTTTTTCTGAGATGCTTTTGGACCTAAGTATATCATTGATCGGTTCTCTTCATAAAGTCCTCTTTCAATAATAACTTGGGTTCAGAGCAAGGGCGTAGCCAGGTTTCGAGCTAGGGAGGGGCGAAAAAAAAATTACCATGGAAAATTTGGCCGAATGCCATTTCACCGAACGCCATTTCCTCGAAAGCCTTTGTGTTGCCGAGTTAAGGGGGGGGGGGGCAGTCGCCCCCCCTGCCCCTATCTGGCTACGCCTATGGTTCAGAGCCGTTTCATGTCATGTTTCTCATATTTGATGCTAGATAATAGCTTTTTTCATCGATCTGTGTTCTGAAAATAGATGATAATGTGTTAAAACGGCTGTGAGATGCAAAGAGATTCTCGCGAAATATTTGAAAAGGGCCTATCCTCGTTGAACGATTCTCTTCATCGACTTTCTATATGGTTTACCACGGCACAATAAACGAATTTCTCTCTAAGCTCGCAGCACAGTTCGACAGAAAATTATGTTAGCTTGCGCCTGCATGCTTGCTCACTGTCGATCTGTCAATGTTACACTGAAACAAAATCCATTGGAATAAATACTATATTGCTGGTTTAAATTAAATACCTTTACCAATAGATTTTTGCAGAAAACAAATTTATTTAAATTTACTATTAATTCTATCAAAATTACTATGCATTTTGAGCAAGCATAGTAGTTTTGTCAGAATCATAGTAATTTAGTTAACATTCATAGTCAACTATAATAAATTCCTAGTAGATTTAACGGTAATAAGCGTCGTTCTATTGAAAACAAGTGTTTTCTGCAAAATAGTATTCATAACTATGGTCCTTGTTTCAGTGTATATATAGGACTTAATGCAGTGTTCAGCTTGGTTTTCTTATTCTTGTTTCTGAAGGGCTCAAAACTTGCGTACAAGTTGGACATCGTTGGAAATCGATCAACAACGTCAACAACAACCCTCTCTTCGGTTTTGGATCGGTTTTTTTTGTCACGTTCGCCTCGTTCAGCTTCATTCCATTTGTTGCATTCTGTGGGGATAGATCGCGAATTCCTTTGCTCTTCCATTATCGGACGGTGTTTTTAGGTTATTAGAGGAGCGAGAAATCGGTGAAAAGCAGTGTAATATTGATAGGTGATAAAACTGGAAATTTTGCTGATTACCGCAAACGAAAGTGAGTATAATGGGTAGTTCTAAGCGTGGGTTCATTGGGGGTTGTGAAATTGCCCGAAATTGGTAGATTTTCGATGGAAATTTGGGTTGAAAATCTTCGGCTGCAGAGCGTTTCGCTGATTGCAGCGTCAACACTTTCATTCAGTCGATGGCTGCTATCGGGGGGATTTTGGTAAAAAGGTGTGATACCGAAAGAGAGGGATAGAAGACGAAAATGTATCCGCTGCTGCTTGGTTACTCCACCTGCAGAGCTGATTTCGCTTGTTTTTGTCTTTGTTGGAGTTTGCATCGCTTGCTGCGATCAATCTTTTTTTTTCTATTTTGTAATCTCCACGAGAGCGGAAAGAGAAAAACATTGGAAATCATAAATTCCAATTGGATTGTTTATCACATCGAACAATAAACAGAAAAAAAAGCACCAAAAACATAGGCGTGTGGGAGTTTTGCTTGGATGGGGTAGAGGTTGGAAGAATGATTCGCATTATTCTGTCGGTTGCAAGCCAATGCACGTAATGACGAAAATTATTAATGTCGTTAATTCTGTCCATGGAATGCTGCGATCTGTGCGATCGATTGCTTGCCTATTGTTCTCTCGCTTTGGTAGTGGCGCAAAGAGGACTGAGTAGGTATGAGTTGTGCATTTCAGTATGGTGAATAGGATAACGGGATAATATTGGATTTGGAAGTTTGAAGAGTTCATACAAAATATAATAAAAAAAAATTAAAAATCAACTCTCCTGAAGTTGATGTACATTCAAGGCACAATTTTTCATATTTGTAATTTTACTTCACAACTTGATGGTTCTTATAATATCTACATCTAGCGTTCTGAATCATGAGGGCCTAACTGCGATGATCGATTACCTTAATCGATTTTTTATAACTCGGTTGTATTAACATTTCTTGGTGCATTTGCTGTTGCTTTTGCTAGCTAATAGGGGAAATGTTGGCTTCGGCAATACCTTAACCTATTATCGTCAGGGGGTAAACAACGTCCTTGAGAGCTCAATTTTGGCATGTGGATACATTGTGTTTCAGAGCACCTATTGGCCAAATTTAAGTGCTCTAGGACTTTGTTTACACCCTGACGATAATAGGTTAAGGTATTGCAGAAGAAAACATTTCCCCTACAACATTTTTATTATGCTTTTTTTTATAATTCGTTTATTTTTCCAGGCTCATTTGCTGTAGCTTTGCGTAGCCGATATTCATTGTTTAGATAACAAAATTACTTAAAACTAACGTTAGTAAAGCGGGGGCCGATTACTCGCGGCTATCTCGAGGTTAGGGGTAACAAATTGTAACAAATGGATGGCAGGGTAGGGATTGTGAACACAAGGTTTGGAGAGCAATGTGCTCTTGATCTCGAACTAGACGACACTCTGATGAAAAAGACAAACATGGGGGTACACCGATGGGCAACTAACAACTTGGGAGAACACAAGATGACACTAACTTCTAAATCCTCAAATCTATCCGCTTTAAAAACACATAAATTAAATTCAAATAGTCAAGGTCTCGGCTCGCCAAGACATCTCTAACGGGTATCGCGGGTTGTTTTCCTCGGGCCCTGAGGGATGTGGATAACTCAGATCTGGCAACACGGTGTAAGGTACACGACCAAACAACATGCTCGATATCGTGATAACCACTGCCACACGCACATAAATTGCTGCCTGAGAGCCCAATTCGATAGAAGTGCGAGTCTAACGAGCAGTGATTGGACATAAGCCTTGATATAACGAGTATAAAGTCGCGGCTCATGTCCAACCCTTTGAACCATGGTTTGTTCGACACCTGTGGGAGAATAGAATGTAACCATCTTCCCAATTCACCATCATTCCATTTTTGTTGCCAACTGATGAGGACTTGCTGGCGAGCAATGGAGAAAAATTCGTTGAAGGCGATTTGTCGCTCAAAAATATCGCCTTCCATAGCGCCCACCTTAGCCAATGAGTCCGCTTTCTCATTACCCGGAATTGAGCAATGAGATGGGACCCAAGCTAAGGTGATAGTATAGGAGCAGTTAGATAAAGCACTCAGTTTAGTTCGTATTTCAGGCAGGAAATACGAGGAGTGCTTCATCGGCCTCATTGAACGAATAGCCTCCAATGAGCTAAGACTATCCGTAAAAATGAAATAATGGTCAGAAGATAGTGAGGCAATTCGCTCTACTGCGTAAAATATAGCTGCGAGTTCCGCAACGTATACGGAGCATGGTTTCTGCAGTTTATAGGAGGCGCTATGAAATTGATTAAATACACCAAATCCAGTGGAAGCATTTATGGTTGACCCATCTGTGAAAAATCTTTTATCGTTACTTACATGGTGGTACTTGATTGCAAAAATTGAGGGAACAACCATCGACCGATGGTGATCTGGTATTCCATGGATTTCTTGCATCATGGTCAGATCAAAATTTACAGAGGAACTATAGAAGGCTTGAAAGCAATCACGATTGGAGATTAATGAAGAAGGACCAACCTCCAGCGTCATGTACTCATAGTACAAACTCATGAATCTTGTTTGAGGATTTTGGCCGAGCAGCTTCTCAAAGTGTTCTATTACCAAAGGATTCAATACTTCACAACGGATGAGAAACCGGAAAGACAGCTCAGCGAAACGATCTGTCAGTGGGAGAACACCCGCGAGTACTTCGAGGCTCATCGTATGAGTCGAGTGCATGCAGCCTAGCGCAATACGAAGGCAACGGTATTGAATCCGTTGCAGCTTAAAAATGTGTGTTTTTGCTGCGGATTGGAAGCAAAAGCTGCCGTACTATAAAACCGAAAGGATGGTTGTTCGGTACAACCTGATAAGATCTTCCGGGTGTGCTCCCCACCAAGTTCCGGTAATTGTACGAAGAAAATTGATTCTTTGTTGGCATTTTTGTTTCAGATACGCAATATGTTTTCCCCATGTGCATTTGGAATCGAACCAGACACCTAAATACTTGAAAGATATACTTTGAGTGATTGTTCTACCCTTTAGTTGAAGCTGTAACTGTGCAGGATGATGCTTCCTAGAAAAAACAACCAACTCAGTTTTCTCCGGAGAGAATTCGATACCCAGCTTCATAGCCCAAGTAGACAAATTGTCTAAGGTATCTTGCAATGGTCCTTGCAGGTCCGGTGCACTTGGCCCTATAACGGACACAACGCCGTCATCTGCAACACGCAGAAAAATGGATTTTTGTTTCAGGGCCTAATGCATTTTGTTGTTGATTCAAACATATTGTATCACTATGTCAACAAAACATGTTTTTGAATCAACAAAATGGTTTTTAGAATCAACAAACAGATTATTGACTCTACAACCGGTTTGTTGATTCAAAAATATTTTTCTTTGAATTAACCGAATAATATATTTTTGAAACAATATCTAAAATATATTAGGCCCTGAGTCAAAAATATATCCATTTGAACTTAAGGCCATCGTTCGGACATTTTGAGCCGTTTGTCTGTGATTTGGGTGGTTTTCCAGGAAACGTCCCGAAAATCCTGTGAAGGAAAGCGAATATCGGGAAACAAATTCCGTCCGTCCGTAGCCAAGGATTTTGTTTTCCTAGTGGGGTAAAATTTGGGTGGAAAAGTGCATTCAACTTCAAGTGGTGTGCTTTTTCCGGGAAAGTGGCATTTCCACCCAAAGAGAATATGCACGTGAGTGTATATGTGCGCGCAAGGAAATGCAATCTTGCGCCTATGTTTTCCCGGGAATTTCCCAAGAAAGTATACCATATTTTTATACCAGGACATTCTGCAGACTATGCACAACATGATGGTATACATAAACATATGATTTTCGAAAATTTGTAGCATGGTTTTTCAATTTCCAAACCATGCGCCAAACATTCTCGCTGTAAATTCGTCACGGACATAGTAAAGAAGCAATAAGCAATTACGCATTTGTTTTACCACGTTGCCACATTTTCTTGTTCGTAGGTCCACGAGTCCTTTTTCGCTAGTTCGCTCATCATATCAAATTGATCAGGAATTCTTCCGAATGTCAAAAATTATATCGAAGACCTACGACGGATCCGAAATTGAAATTGAGATCTCCATATATTCTTTCATCATATCAAACTGAACAGGAGTTCTTCAAAATCTTATCTTATCTATCGAAGACCTACGACTTATCGGGAATTGAAATCGAATCCTGCATATTCCCTCATCACATCAAATTGATCATTAATTCTTCCGAATAATCAGAAATTATATATAAAACGTATGACTTATCGGAAATTGAAAATGAGTTCTTCATATATTCCACCAACACATCAAATTGATCATAAATCCTTCTGTAGACATTCGGGCAGTTAGAATATATTTCATAATACAAGGATGGTCAAAAATTCTTCCAAACTATCAGAAATTATATGGAAACCCTTCGATTGATTGTAAATTGAAATCAAATTCTCCATTAATTCCTTGATCATATCATATTGGAATTATCAGGAATTATTCCGAATAATAAGAAATTATATCGGAAAATGAAATCGAGATCTCCATATGTTCCCTCATCACATAAAATTGATCAGGATTTCTTCCAAATTATCAGAATTAATATCGAACACGTATGACTTATAGGAAATTGAAATTGAGTTCTCCATATATTCCTTCAACATATCAAATTAATCAGAAATCCTTCTGAAGAACTTCGGGCAGTTCGAATGTATTTCAAAATACAAGGATGATCAGGAATTATTTCGAAATTTCACCGAATTATCAGAAGTTATATGGAAACCCTATGACTGATTGGAAATTGAAATCGATTTCACCATAATGTGTACCCTATGTACCATATCAAAGTGTTCAGAAATTCTTCCGGATTATCAGAAATTATATTGAAGGTCTTCGACTAATAGAACAATTGCAACCAAGTTTCCATATATATCTCAATCAAATCAGGTTGATCAGGAATTCGTTCGAATTATCAGAAATTATAAAAAAAAACTTCCTGATCAGAAGTTAAAATCGAGTTGTCCTTATGCCCTTACCATAT